TCTAAGCAAATAAATTTTCTTATCAACGTGAAAATTACATTGTTGAAGATGTCTTTTTCCTCAGCTATTCACATTTATCATATTGTCCAGCACTTTCTGCTCAAGTTAAGTTTCAAGCACGCGTGAAAACGATAAAAGTTGATAGAGAATCTAGCTGGTTCTTGAGACATATCAGTTGCTCTGGGACATATATACAAGTGTTCTATATATGTCTAACATAGAATTTTTCATCTGCAGCATAATATCTATATTTTTCCAACGTTGACATTTTGTATCGAGGATATGGATCATCGCCAAGAAGATTTAACTCATGAGAACCTCAAGATGTAGACAAAGCTCAGAAAATAAAGATAAGAGAACAATAAGCTGAAGAGATGATAGAGTTGATGAAAAAAGTTGATTATTGATTTCCCGATGCCCTCGAGGATGTCGGAATATTCTCTGAGTCATCACCGAGCTTGAATAAATCGACGCAAAATAGAAATGCACAAGCATACGACTCAGCTACGGGGTCCAAATGGTTCTACCCCTGTTCGTGGTCCCGTGAGACGTTGGAATAGCTTTCATGGCGGGGGCGTTGGAAATTTTGGGGATAACTTCAGCAATGGGGGAATTTGTCTTGGTCAGAAAACACCTCAAGAGCCCTATAGAGCTGTTCCAAAAGCTGTACAAGCACTCAGAAGTGAAAGCGTCGACCGAGGTCATCGAATTCAACCCCCACCGCCCCCAGCATTTCCCCGTCGACGATTTTCCGTTTGGTGAGTCTTAGTGAAACATCTGAAGGTCAACTTCACATCTATAACAAGCATTTTATTTGAAAACTTTTCTTTAATTATACTGAAATAATATTCTCATGAAAACTTATCCGGCCACGTAGATTGTTTCTTGACATTTAAAGGTCACTAGATGAATTAATTACTTTAGGAAATACTACTTTCGTTGGAATAATTAAATAACATCTAATGTGTATTATGGGGTAGTGTGACTATTATTGTGTCTACGCTGAACTTTATAAAAGCTGACCCTTATGTTATATTATGTATAATATCAAGACAGACATTTTCAGTGAGGAGAATTCGAAAACTAAAGGGGAGAAAAAGTAAATATTTTCTCATCATTTTAAGTGGGCGAATCTTACGATGATACATTGAAATTACTTAGTCCGGGGATTGATCATTTTAATGTGATTAAATGGCTTTTCTTTATTATCAAAATTTGAGTTCATTATTATTTATCTTGTATTACGTAGTATGAATTTCCTTTTTCACTTAACCTTTGACATTAAACAAAATAGAAAAATTTCAATAAACAAAACTTTTAGTGATTGTTTTATATACAAAAGGGAATATTATTATTATGTTTGTTTCCATGAATAAATATTTCTTTTTATTTAGTTTCTTACAATAAAATGAAAATTAGAAAATATTTCATAAAAACTTTTGAATAGAAATAAAAAAAAAATTTTTTTTCTTATTTCTAAAAAGTTTTCTGTATAAAAAAGTCTCTTATAAATGTTCATTTTTATTATTGAAGTTTGGCCTTAATTTGTGCTATAAAAAAGCTTAACAGACTGTAAAAAAGTTTATAAAAAAATAAGTACTAGAATTTTTTATATTAAAATTAAGTCTTATCCGAATAGTGAATTAATTATGAAGCAAAATTTAAATTTTAATAAAATTGACAAAAAAACTTTAGATATTAAATAAAATGATAAATGAAATTTTTTTAAACAATAAACAACCCAAGCTCAAGATAGACAATATTTTTTAATTTAACTTTAAAGTAGGTGGAAAAAGAAAAACACTTGAGATGATATCAATCACAATGAGATGGGGGATGAGTAACATTTAAAAGCCGTGGAGTCTTTGTCGGGAAAATTCACGAGGGAGAAGATTAATTCGCGAAAGCGTTACCGCAGGACAATTGAGCACAAGTATAGTGATGAAAAAATGCTGCGAATAAAAACAGAAGAACACGTAGGGAAATTAGAGATTAAAAGATAAATATTCGTAAATGTAAAATATTGCTGATGTCCTTGGTTTCAAAGCTTGCGCCGTCGTCAACTCAATCGATCCAATGCGTCGACAAATACGCACACGTACACATGCAAGCTAAGCTATTCTGTAATATATTTATATAGATGTAATACCCATATATCTTTATATACATGTTACGTATCGAGAACTCTCAGTCCTAAATTACATAATGGAATTGAATGCCAACTGTATTCCCTCTGTTTCTGATCATCCCTCGTTGCCTCAACCACACGCACGTGTGTTTCGGGTGAATGAGTGGTTAAGGTTATCTAGTATTGCGCATAGTTGGTGAATCCTCTCGTAGAATTACATGGAAAACATGGCATATTGCGTTTCCCTGTTTTGTAGCGTAGGTCGCTCCCCGAATTCAAACCCTATTAAAGTTGCGACTGTCACTATTAATGCTAGAATGTTTATTGTTATTTATAGACATATAAATTGTCTAAAGTATTCTGGGCACCCTTCGAGCTTTAGCTTTGACTATTATATACGAATTTTAGCCATTTAATCGATTACCATCGGCCATGGAAGAGAGATTCTTTGTACAAACATTGAAAATGAACTGTTAAATTGTCATGGTAAATATTTAACAGGTTGATATGAAGTTGATTTAAAGGAAATCATTAATTTAAATTGAAAAATTATCGTAGAATGGGAATTTTTTCATCTGTGATTGCTGTTATATTGATGAAATTATATTTTAGATTGAAAAAATATCGTACAACTAATAATAATTTTTTTTAACAACATTTTATTTATTTTTTTTTTAATGTAATATTCAGATTTATTACTTTTCTGACTTTTTATTTTATACAAAAAAAAGCACGTAAAAAAGTGGGATATAAATTTGATAAATTTCAGAAAAAAGTTAAAAATAAATTAAAAATTTTTTTCCAGTCTTTTGTGAGTACAGAAAAGCGTTGGCTGTCGTACATCTATATGTCTATCTATCAAAAAGTCACATGAAAGTAAAGTGAAATTTTATTATGACTGATTCACGGTTGTATTTTTAAGTATAATAAGCTAAGAATACGATGATGGTTATATCATTATTCCACTTTTAAAGATATTTAGTTAGATAAAAGATACTTGAAAAAATTCTTACAATTTAATAACTCGTAAATCATGGCATTAATTAGTAAAACCACCTAAAATATTTCCGAGGTCCAGGATTATCTGAATTTAATTATTACGTTGAGTTTATTACACAACAAGTCAATAAAAATTGATTGCAAGTTTATTTTATTTAAATAAAAAGTCATAAAAAATAGAGAAAGTGAATGAAAATAAAACAAATTCAAAAAATATGTTAATGAGTTAATTAATAATAAATTAAAAAAGTATTTGAATTAAATACAAATGAGATATTGATGTAAATGAGAAAAGCAGTTTGAATAGAGATTAGATTGTTAATAATTAAATCAAATATCGTGAAATTTATGGTAATATAGTACGGATGATGGATAATTGACTGAATGCCGATTACTTGTCTTGTTTCCTTTATGACATTTATAGACGAGCTTTGATCTCATGACGAATTTGTCCAATACATGAAACATATGTGCTAGTACGTACATAAAGATCGACAGATATGTATGTGGAGCATGTTGTGAAAGCACTCAAATGTTGGATGAAACAGGGATTAGTTCCGATGTTAATAGCCAGAACTTGTTCATTCAAGGAGTGGCTTATTGATGTAGAAGAGAAGTAAACATCTGTTTGCGCACACCATCAGTAACACAAGTATATCAACAAAACAAACTTGTATCTGTTTTGTTTGTATATAATTAAAGATCATTTTCACCAATTGATTTCTACGAACGTTAATTAAATTTATTATTAATTATTTCATTACGTAAAAATTCCTAAATACTTTGACTGTAATGTAAGTTTGCGAAGTTACTCTGCGTGACTAATTACTTGCAGCTCTCTCATTATCGCAATGCGCTGAAATAGTCGAGAATGTAGGAATTATTGTGAATATAAAGAATTTTATGTTTGATTGTTTGAAAACAATTTACCGCAGGTTTATGTTTCTATTTAAAATGATTACTCTTCGCATAAATGTATTTACTAAATTGCTTCGAAGAATTTACCTATGTTTAAACATTTTACGAAAAATAATTAGTTAAATAGTTTTTTTAAAATCATTTTGTTTTGTAATTTAATTTATTAACAATAAAGTATAGGAGGAAAAATTGTTACTAAGATGAAATATTTTATAAAAAATGCTTGTTAACAAGTGTCTAGAATATTTTTTAATTAAACAAAGAAATATGCTTTTGTGTAACTATAAAATATAATTGAAGGAAAAATGTTATGGCTTAACAACATAAATTCCAGCAGGATTCTGAAGGAAATGTTAAAGTTAATAGAAATCATAAAATAATGATAAGAACAACTACAGACGATAATAAAAAAAAACAAGTTAATATTTTTTGCTTCACTTTTTATCTGAGATAAAGAAAAAAAAAATAACTAGACGTGAGGGGTTTTGAGAATGTTCATAATATGCTAATAGTAACAGTACATTTCTCAAAAAAGGATATAGAAAGGTTATAGAGCTCAAAAGTCTGGAAGTTGGTGGTTATTAACGTCGTCGCGACGCCCACTTTGTGGGTGTATAATAGCACGCGTGCGAGAATCACAAAATTGTCTGCGAGAGAGAAAGACGGCGCCTGGGTGTTAGCGTCAAGACGACGATGACGCTTCATCCCTTTCCTTCTTAGCAGAGAGAAGCTATTAGGCATGAAATTCACACTGCAAAAAGGGACGTAAAACCCTTCTAATTCTATATAAGCTGATGTATGACTCTCCACCTCTTTGACACGTGCCGCACCCACGCAAATATTTCATCGCTCAAACTTGCCTTCATTTAAAACTCGACCACAAAACTTCATCCAATTACGATATCCATGAATACGAATAATTAACAGCATGCCCTCTGGGCTTCATTTGTTTCAGCTTCGGCAAACGAACTGGAGGCAGTGCCAGGAGACCCAACGAATGCTTCGTCCTCGAGCCCTCCGAGATGATTGTCGTGAGTATTACATTTATATTTTTTTCATATCACACTCCAGATTCGTTTAACTTTTTTCCTCCACTTTAATCTACTTTACTGTTGCATTGCAAATGTAATCGTAAGGCAGGGAATCGTATTGTTTCAAAGTAGAAGCAGTGACAAAGCTTTATTCATGGAATTTATTTAAGGTCAAGGGTCTATTGTTTTGTTTTGTTTTTATTTTAATAATCGAACTGTTATGTCATGAGCAATTAAATTTTCTCATATATTTAAGTATATCTTGCTTCAAGTATTATCTTGGTAAACAATTTCCATTCATGAATTCTGAGGTCAAGGTTTCTTCCACTTTTTGCTTTTAAATTGAGTGTTGTTGACAAAGTTTATTCAGTTATCTAATTGGCATCAGTAATTATTATTTTCTCGTGACAAAAGAAGTTTATTATTTTCAGGTAACAGTGAACTTTGCGTATAAATTGCATTGTTTTGTAAAAAAAACAGATAACTTTGTTTAATGGATTTCGATAAAATCAAGGCTCCCCTTTATTTTGATCCGTTTAGAATACCTATCCTTTTTCAAAAAGCTCCATTTTATGGATTATTCCTGAAGCTTAAAAGAATCATGTGAAGCAAAAAATTGAAGCAGACTTTTCGTCGTTGTTAAATAATCAAAATAGATTTTTTTTTCTCATTTAATTAAGAGAAAAATTTTATTTGTCTCATCAATCTTGAAATTTTTTTCTATTACTTGAGAAAATAAGTTTTTAATCCAAATAATAAAGTAAACAAAAAAAGAGATTATTAACGAACTGACTTTTTTTCATTAAGGGACAGAATAAAGATTTTCTGCAAAAGTTGTAATAAAAATCCAAGTATCTTTACTCTGTGAAAAAACAACTACATTTTTTTAAAATTTTCATTATCACAAAAATGAATATTTACAAGGATAATGAATGCTAAACTTTAAAGAAAAACTAGAGCAAATTTTTTTTTCTAACCAGCAACACATGAGACCTACTAAAAATTCATTAAAGTAACAATTAGCAGAGTAATTATTAAAAAATCTTTCTGTGTCTTCTTGAAACAAAAAAAAAAAGAAGGAAAAACAAAACATTGTTAATTAAAATATCTGTTATTACACTATGACCTTTCAAAGTGAAAATCATACTGTAGGTAGAAATGACAAAAAAGCTTCTTTGATACAACAGATATTCATCAAGTCAAAGCATTCTGATTTTATTTACCATACCAGCAAAACATGAAATACCATTTATTAATTCATTCATTCATTGAAAAGTAATTCATAAAGATATAATTTATTATTTATGTGGGTGTGAAAAAATTGTTTCGTACATCCTACACTTTTTTTCTCTGTCATTTAGCTAACACTATTTTTACAGTGAAAATTTGCTCTGCAAATGTACCAGCAAATGTGGAATTTACTCAGAAATTTTTTTCGCATGGTTTCCACTTACATCTAGATAATGTTCACAGACTTTAATGGCTGCAATGATTGTCTCAAAATTAGCAAAAGCGTAATATAACGATGTAAATAACATAGTTTCTCCAGACATAATAGTATTCGATTCTCTGATCTCTAATAGAGAATTCTGACATTCAGCACCAAAAGAGAACATGAACAAGAACTACAGGTAATCTGAGAGACACGACAGCTAATCAATATTAACCCAAAGAGTTATGCTAATGTTGTTTAGCAGTCGTAAGCTCACTAGGTCCATGCACACATACATATGTATGGGCTTTGTATTTGTAAACATAACAGAGGATGTTGGAGAAGAGATTGGTATTGGTATAAGCCAAGTTCTAAGCTGGATTAGGATATATATATATCGATTGAATTTTTATTGTTATTAATAGCTAGAAAATAATTATAGAAAAGTCATTAGCTATGAATAAGTTGATACATAACCAACCTGTAATTTACATCAAAAATTCTATTACATTATTCATCTATTTTGTCGGATAAAACTTGAAATCGATAAAAAATGACACGCATCAGTTTTGTGCTGCCACCTTTCTTCTCTCAGAGTTCTACCTAACCGACTCGGTTGAATTTTTTATTTTTCTCTGAATAATTTATTTACTTGGAATTGATTCGATTTTTTAAACTTTTTTCTTGTTTTTAAATTACTCGAATTTTTTCTCATTGTTGCCTTTTATTTATTAAAGCAAACGTGAACATGAAGCTTTAATTACGATATTTAGTCGGATGTTTCTCTATTAAATACAAACATGAATCAATAAAGTCATAATTAGTTAAATCCTCGAGAGATAAACTTTCCGTTTGTTTCGCTAGGTTAATTATGCACAGGTAAATACATCCATCTGTTGCTAAATTAAAAATTATGTCTCTTGTTTTTTAATCAAAAATTACTATTGTTTCTACTAAAAAAGATATTTCCCTCTTCTATTTTGATAATTAATATTGAAATTCAAATGAATGTTGATTTTAATGGATTATTCAGTGTATATTATTGATGGAATTTATTTAAAGCTCTTGGTAAATATGATCATAAATCTTATATTGACATGGATTTAACATAAACATTATTTCAACAATTTTCCCTTGGTTAGTTTGAACATAGATTAATACGAAAAACCGCATTTTCCATTCGAGCTTGTATTGATTCTATTGTGGAGATAAATTCAACGTGGTTTTGAATTTTCAGGCAGAATGACTGCTCATTTAAAAGCTACTACTCGATGAGATTGCCATGAGGTAACTTGATACCACATTTGGCCATATTAATCTAATGGTCAATCGAAGGTGAACAAAACAGACTGGTGCATATAAATAAATTGCGGTTTTCGAAATGACTGCTTCAATACCTCTCTCCAGTTTCTGTACTTCAAACATTATATATATATATATTAAATTATGTACAGAAAATCATGTACTGGAGATTGAAGCAGAACGTGCAATGCACGCTAACGAAAACAGATTAAATCGTACGTGATGGTGGTTGAGGTAATTGATAGCCAAACTATAGCAACTATTTGAAGCATTTCAAATTGTGTAAATAAATTACGAAATAAGACACATGTGTAATTGTGTATCAACCAGGAAGACGAACAAGTATTTTGTAATATACACTTTGGAACGTGTTTATCATCAAACAATCAACAAGAGGCGCTGTAGAGATTGGTTTGATAGCACGAGCATTCACTTTTTCTTTTTCTTCTTCCAATTAAATCGAATATGAATATTTACTCATTCATTATTATTTGGTTCACCTGATTTATTTTCAAGTGAATAATTTTATTCAAGAGACACTGAGTTGTGAAATAATTGGTAATTGATTGTTTTCTGAAGAATGTAAAATATGCCGTGGTTATCACAAAGCAAAACACGGATCGAAAAGTATGCAGAAGGAAATGGAATTAATTAAATAATAAAAAAACAAAGCTGTTGTTGAGATGAGTGTTAGTGAAAGATAAAACTGGGTTATGCAATAGCACGGAATGTCAACGGTGTTGTTGTCAAGGGATTCACTTCCTGTCGCCGTGTGATGCTTCGAATATAAGTCTCAATGTGCACCAGTGCAATGCTCACTTAGTTATCGCAGTTTCTAGGTTCATTCGTGCAATTGACTGCGATCATTGTTCTCGTGAAATCAGCGATGCGCACGTGGAGTTTCGAGTAACGATCCCTCGGGGTGGGTTTGCACATTGCACTCGTGATGAGGGGAAATCTCGAGTTTCACTACGACTAAAAGCTGTATCGTCGAGCCACACTGTCGCCGGCACTGATGATACAATTAATTATCAGTGATCATACTGGTACGGTGTCACTCGGAACTGTAAAGTGTCTCTCTTGTCTCTTTGGTTTCAAAGTCTCTTTTTATTGTATTTTAATATTCAAACTTAAAAAGTAAATAAATATGAGTCTGAGATATTTTTTTGCTTATGACTTTGTTTAACGTCTCGAAGTTGACATTATGATCAGCTTTCATTTCTCAGAATATGACTAATTAATTAGTATGAATAATTAGAGATAATTTTATAGCATTTATTTATTAGTTTTTTGCATTTTCACACATGTTTTTGTTTCCTCGTTCTCTTTTATTTGTGATTCAGCTTGAAATATGATAGCAGTGACTCATTCATCAGCTATTTAAATGATTGATTTTGATCAAAAAATAACAATTTTAATTTTTTCATTATAATTGTAACAGAAATTTCTCTTTGAAATATTTAATAAAATTTATAAAAAATGTCTACGTAGTAGGGAAAGAAATGATACTATAAATTTTTATGTAATGTGCAAATTTGTTTTTCATTTTTTTGTAATTTTTCGATCAATATTTTTTATTATATTGTAGTTAATATTCATGAAAAATTTTCAAATCTCCAAGTTTTTTTTTTTCATAAACTACAATCACCCAGAAAAATGAATCTGATTTGGGTATATTACAAAAAATGGCTTGGATGACAGAAATAAATGTTGGAGCTTTCGATCGAATTTCAACACTCCTTCAATCTCTGACGATTCAAATAATTTAGTGATTCTTTCATTTGTATAAATTCCAAGTTTCTGCTGAACCTCTTTAGTGTTTGATCACAGTAACTGATGAGTTATCTAGGCGCGTTACTGTGTCCCTGAGTGACGTCTAATTAAGGTAATCCCATTATTTATACAAGTTTTACTCTTTGGGCATATCTCTCTTTTGTTGACGAGTTGCTCGAGTTTACCTTGGCATCTCTTGTCATGGTTGGATGGCTTCGATAATGTGCGGTCGTCATCCTCGTCAGGTCGTTATTCTCTTTCGGCATATAACCGCTGTAGATTTTCCCGCAAAAAATGGTGGAATAAATCCGCTCTCATGAATTTTTGACGTGTATCTTTATATTAATGAGGAAGACTGAAAAAATACGGTATTCTTTTCTTGAGCGTAACAAGGAGGTACGAACAAATAACCAAACGACTGAGTAAAAAATAATATACGTGATTTTTTAAAATATTATTTCTCATATTTTACTTGTTATTATTTTTCTTCCCT